AGGGAAGGCTTTTAGTAGGGCAGTCTTGAAATTTTCGTAGGTATAGGTGGGACTTCCCTGCTTGACCCAAGAGGACTTCTGCCGATACATTTGAACCAGTTAAGCGCTTGGCCCCTCAAAGCGCTGGTAGCTAAGGTAACTTTTTGAAACTCGTGCACGGGGTAGAGCATGAAGTGGTCATCCAGTTTTTCCAAAAAACTGGTTACCTGTGAGTTTCCATTAAACGTTGCTTCTGGTTTCATCGAAGCGCGCATGGTCTGGACAATATACCCAAATCCTTCCAGGGCGGCAGCTGGCATTTCTGGATTCTGAGCCTGTTTCTGCAGGCAGCACAGGTTCTTCTTGAAACTCGGCCATGGTTATTCTTCGTCGGGCGCCACTATCAGGTTCAATGTTTCTTCTAACCTTCTTCGGAAACATACAATGACCTGACTAGAACAGAGAGCTTACTAAAGCTATGTTCACTAATTGTAGTAAGTAGACAGGATACAGACGAAGGGTATACAAAACCCTTTATTTTTTCTTTATATACAATGACTTCCGTACTTCGGAATACAATGACCCTCCACTCGGGGTCTAACTTAAAAGATATCAAAATAAAACTAAACTCTAATTTAACTTTAGAATAAGATTGGCCTTATAATAACAGAAAGCGTATGTAGCACAGAGACTGTGAACACTACAATACGTTTAATTTATCAAGAGGATTAAAACCTCTGGCCTGGAAGGCAAAGTAGCAACTGCGTAACTTCTAAGGTAAGCGGCCTGCTTCGAACTCACGGCTTCCTCTCTTCTGCTTGGCAAAAAGGCCACACTTAAATACTTGGCGTTCGCCAGACAACTTTGCATAAACTCCTTCACGCTTATAATTCTGGCCGGAAGTAGAAAATAAGAAGTGATAGTAAAGATTTAAAATAAAATAAACGTTAGTAAAACTTAAGATCCTTACAGTCGGTGTAAGATCAGTATTTCTGGCAAAGAGATTGCACGCCGTATAACAGTTAAAATCACACCGAGTTGCTGCCTCAGCGAAAAATGGCGAATAATCAATCTGTTAGACGACATCTGGATGCTTTTACCCGAGGCCGAATCATTGGGAAGTTGGAGGAAGGCCGCAGTGTGACAAGTGTGGCTGCAGAGTTCGGAATTGCTCACAGCATCGTTTCACGACTTTGGAGACAATTTCAAACTACAGGAACAGCTATTCGGGTGTTTAGTAGTGGTCGTCCACGAGGAACCACACCCGCAGATGACCGGTATATTGCCTTACAGGCTCGAAGAAACAGGCGGCAGACAGCGGGAGAAATTGCTAGACCACGACACAGGCGACTGGACGACCGATATCGCGTTTTACCGTGGCCAGAAGACTGCACGGTGGTGGTCTGTTTGCACGACGCCCTGTACGGTGTGTACATCTAACGCTTGCCCATCGGAGAAGGCGTTCTCTGTGGTGCCGGGAACACCGGAATTGGAGAGACAATGAATGGGGACGAGTACTCTTTACAGATGAGAGCAGATTCAGTCTGAGTAGCGATTCTCATCGCATACTCATCTGGAGAGATCGGGGAAGCCGCAGTCATCCCTCGAACATCATTGAAAGGGACAGGTATGGAGGTGGCGGTGTTCTCGTTTAGGGAAGCATCATGCTTGGTAGTAGACCTTCACATCTTCGACGCAGGTTCAGTCAACGGGACCCGTTATTGTAACGAGATTCTTCTTCCATATGTGCGTCTTTTTAGAGGCGCTATGGGTCCGCAGTTCCTTTTCATGGACGACAATGCACCATGTCATCTCACAGTAGCTGCCGAACAGCTCTTAGAGAGTGAGGATATTGAACGTATGGATTGGCCGGCACGATCTCCGGATCTCAATCCCATCGAGCATGTATGGGATTTTCTAGGCAGACGCTTGGCAGCTCGTATCTTACCACCAGTAACGATTCCGGAGCTTCGATTGGCGCTGCAAGACGAATGGGCAGCAATGCCTCAACAACTCATTGACACCCTCATTCTGAGCATGGGCAGACGCTGTAAAACCTGCCTAGCAGTCAGGGGAGATCATATCCCCTAGTAAAGACCAGATGTTTCTTGCTGGACACCCATCACAGGGATGTTTCGGCCTTCAGTCGCATTGCGCTCCATGCTACTTTTTCAAAAAAGCTTCTTTTTATCCCTCTGATTTCTCTTTTAGTAAGTGTTGCTTACATTACTCATGTCCTTACGTATTGGGGATCTTACGGTATTAAATGTGTTGATTTGGAAAGCTTTTGTACAAAGTTATATTGAAAAAACCGTCTCGTCCTTAATTTTTGCACACCAGTGTATTTGTGGAGATGAGAAAAATGTGTGGTGCCGTCACCGGTATTCCAACGCTGGGCCTCCCGAATAAGTTTCGAGCGGGCTTCCAGTTACACAAGAAAGGCATGCGGAAAGGAGAAAGGAAATACCTTGTATAATAACGATACTAAGAATAGCAAGCCTGAATTATACATGAAAACGTTGCCTAGAATGGCGCATAAGTAGCGTTATGATTTAAATAAGTCTTATCTTGTATTGTATTTTTTCCACTTGCAATTTAGGATTGCCTGGCAGATACTTGAAGATTTTATGATGAAAGTTTCACCATCGTGCAAGGAACGAAAATTGTTCAGTTTTACATTAGAAATCAACACTATCTATTAGACGCAATAAGCATACCACATTTGTCTAATGATCAGATTACTGTGACAGCTTATCAATCGGTTCAATATTTTAAGCGACAAATAATGATTCCTGAGGGAATTTTTAGGTATTGCATAATTTCTTGATTTTCGAATGACTGGATATAAAGATTAACAGAATGAACAATCACAGAGTATGTTTTTCTGGAATACAATTGAAATCTACATGCAAAGGAACTATGACCCATACAACAACTTAAAGCCAGTATTCAGTGACTCAGTCAAGATCTGGGAAGTGAAATTATTAAAAAGGAGTTACGGAAATAATTCGAATAAAATACGTCAAGTCGGGGAAAATAATGCCAGATATTATTTTAGAAACATAATACAAACGCAAGTGCTTAAATTGCATTCGAAGTCAAGAATGGCAAAACATAAATGACGTTGAAAGAAAAAGCGTAATTCGTTATTTAAATTATGATAGTATCGATACGAAATCTTACATAAATATCCATAATGATATTTATTTGTTTTCTGCCTTCTTACCTTCCATGTTGAGTAAATTCGAATTTTAATCCTATTTTAATTATACGTAATAATACGTATAATTAATAAACATTATAGGTAATTAGAGAACATATAGAGAAGCGGTTGACCATTTTGAGTGTTATTTCTTAAAAACGTCTCAGGTATACACTTCGGAGGAAGCTGACGTGATCTCTTCGTCTTGAACATGTAAAAATATTTTAAGTCATTTTAGATATTGTAAAAATAAACAACTAATTAAAAAAGACTCAAAGTCCGCAGCATTATCTATGAAACAACAGTAAAATGAAATATGGATTAAAGCAAGGCCAATATCTCTATAGTACCATAGGTGATTAACTGCAACTAACTGACTTGTTATAATTTTTCAGTCCAATTCGAAATTCCGAGACAGAATATCGTGGTGGGATTTTTTTTTCTAATTTCAAATTGTAGCGGTTCATTTCCTTCAATAGCAAAGTAAAAGGCAACTTGCAAAGTGAACCTCATTTAACGGAAGCCATTAAGATAAAAAAAGATTCGCTTACATAAAAGTGATGATTAGAAAAGTTATGTTTAAACTTTTTGTTAATTTATCAAAATATCAAAAGAATTTATCAAGTTTTAAAACCATATGAAGTACACGGACTTGTAATTATCAGCTAAAACGTCTGAGAAGAGCGGAAAGGAAGTTAACAAGTGAGAAAATTGTTAAAGAGAAGTTCGTTACAAAACAGAATATTTCTGTCAGTCCAGTTGCTACAAAACTAAAGTTATCAAAATCAACTATTCATCAGATTAAAAAAGATCTAAGATTGAAATCGTATATAGATATGGTTCCAAAATAAAAAGTGGCCAAGAAATACGACAAAAGAGTTCTTCAAATCCACAAACTAGAATATTTAAATAACTTATTAATAGAGTCATTTAAATTGATTCCGTCCAAATTTAGGCAAAAACTTATCATTAAATGATTAATTTATTTTATGGTTGATCGTAATCTCAGTGGTTGCACTGACTTTGTTCCTGTGCACTTTAAGCAAAGTTTATACAATACTTTCCAAGAACAGTTACGGTATATCTTTTCTCACACAGTGACAACAACGTTTCTAATCTAGTCATTTTTCTCTCAGGGAAGGATAAAAGATTTTTGTTTATTCAAATCAGAGCACTTAAAAAGGTTTTATTCATTTTATCAAATAACATCATCAGTTTACATACATTTTGTTTTCGCCTGACTTAACTCCTAGCCATTTTGCGGAGCGTACTGTTAACAGTTCAAACATTAAAAAAACTGACTTTATGTCTGCATCGAATAATGCCTCTAACATATTCTAAGCTTGAGGTGACAAAACAGTTTGAAGCCTTATTAAAAGCAAATTCAATAGTGTAAAGAAGGTGCCCCAAAACTTGACTCAAACCTGGAAAATTTACCGTTGATTGTTAAAACACGTTTTAAAGAAACTATTGAAACATAAATGGGAAGAACCAAAGCAAATCTTTATAAAATAGATCAATGAAGAATTACGCAATAATTTGAATGTGGAATCTGCTGATCGAAAACTAATTAATTAAACTGTATGTTGATGAAAATTTTGATTTTAGGAACATACGCAGTGAATTTTATAGGAAACTTCAAATCTGTCTCTTTCTTATCCACTACACATTTTATACAAGAGTATTTCGTTATTAGCAACCGAACAAAGAATATTGTTTTTGTTGCTGTAATAAGGGTAAAACAATGATTCATTTGACTTTAATTTGCAGAATCTGCTTCAAAGAAATCGTGAGTTCGTTAAAGAAGACTTCGACTTACTTTGAAACCCATAACTAAAGATGCAACTTTGTTGTAAGCTGTTTCCGGGTTTCCGATCATGTAATCCCAGCCAGTGAATAACTTCCAGGCGAAAGTGCATTCGTCATCTTTCTCTGACAATTTGCTCATTCTTGAATTTTCCGCCATTCTGCATAAAAAACACAAACAAATAAACTGTATGTTGAAAGTCTAAGTATATAGACATAAAACCATACTTGAAGTTATGACAATAGAAGTTAGTAGCAAGGAGAACATCTGATTGATACCTTCAGGATTAATATCCATTCAAAAGCAAAGTGCGAATTTGTGTGAAGTAATCTCAAAAGTAAATTGGTTATTGATTAGTTTTACCATTGCAGGAAAACTTGTTTCTGGCGATTGTATTTATTTTTTAATTAAATGAATTCACCAATTGTATATTTTATTTACTACCTGTTTAAAAGTAATAAGGTTTCGGAAAAGGAACGTATCTATTTTATGATGAAATGTATTAGATAATTTATAAAAGTTTATTTCTGCTGTCATTTGTACAAGGGTAAAACATGAAAAGTTAACTTTCCAAATTTCATTAGGCAATATCCTCGCCATTTGTGAAAGACTTTAGAAGTGCTGCCATTCGAAATTCAGCTAAAGAGAAAGCTAATTTGGGCTAGAATACGCAAAGCTTCGTCAGAAATCGTCGAACATGAATGTAACTTTACAACAATAAATGTTTTCTGTATCATAAACCAACTATAAGGTATTTGGATCTTTCTTCTTTGAAAAGCGTGTATTACAGGTTCATATACTTGGACATGTTGTCCGTATGATTATTATTCTAGTTGGAAGAAAATTTGCCAGACTTCAAATTACAACAAGACGGCATTTTTCCATATTGTCATAAACTTATACGCAATTTCCTCAACCAAAGTCTTTCAAAACGCCGAACTGGTCGTGTTGATTCAAATCACGTGCAATTGATGTTGCGCAAGTTCCCCTAGATCATCCTACCTAACGCCTGTTCTTCCTTTTAACTGCAACTTGCAACTGTCTTACAAGTATATTTCATTTTTATATATTCATTTTAAATTACCTTGTATATTATATTGAGAGTTTACAAGTTAATTTAAACAACTGTAATTTGGAAATTTGTTGCTAATTCATTTTCCACGAGATACGTGTTTAGGAAACTCGACAAGAATTGTTGAAGAATACTGTCGCATGCAGCGCCACCTATCAGAAAAATATAAAAGCTTAGTTCACTTAGCTTGAAGTTGAAAAGAATAATATTACAAAGCAGGTCTGTAGAATGTTTTTATATACTTAAAAGTCTTAAAATTAATTTGTTAACTAATTTCCAATTTAATTAAGTTTAAAACAAAATTCTCAACACTATTTTTGTCCCTTTTTCACATAAGCTAAATAGAATCTTATTAATACAATTACTGAGTGTCCCTAACCCTCCCATTCAGAGCTTAAGATCGCTTCCCCCCTTCAGTATTTGCGCAATATACCTTACTTTTGTAGATCAGAATAGGAACGTATCTGTACGAAACATAAAATAAAGATATAATAATAATAATAATAATAATAATAATAATAATAATAATAATATATAATAATAATAATAATAATATATACTAAAGACAGAACTTAATTTTCAATCTGTAAGAAAACGCTAATAGCTCATACGCGCAAACTCAAAATTAATACTACAATATCGTAATACATCTAAAAATTATTAAACTAAATTATAAAACTTGAGCAACAATTTTAGTAAAAACATCTTGAATTATTATTCCAGTTTCATTATTAATATGATACTTTCAAATGCTTCATTAAGCTCTACATTTAAAGTCAGAATGCTGAACAAGTTGTTTAGTTTGAGAAAATGACAGTTTTGAGGCTGCCTTAAAGAAAAGTTTATTGAAAGAGTTGCCAAATGAAATAAGGATTCAATTTTGTCGTCTCTTAATTTGGGAAAATAAAATTTAAACGACCGTTGGAGTTTCCTTTCATTTCATTTTTAAGCTGAAGCTCGTTTTCTAATAAGAAACTGTAAACTATCTCAGAGATTTTGAACTGAATGTTTCAATATATGATTACTAAAAATTTAACTTTTGATCATAGAAACAGTCTTTTAGATACTTTGAAAGCAGTTAAGCCACTGTTTTGCTATTCTAAAATAAGTTTATTTATTTCTAAAAAAGTATCATCTAAATACGCATTCATCACTCGCAAATTTCAAGCTAAATTGAAATGGATGGCTTTCAAATTAAACTTTGTGTCTTAACCCAAATAATACGTTTAATATTTTCCTTTTCGAAAGTAACTTTACTTCTGTGTATTAAACTAGTGTAATATGCAAGCTATTTATCTTCAAACACAATGCTTTGCGTCTGGAATTTGTTCCAATGGATTTAATGAAATTAATAGCGTTTACAAATTCATTCATTATTTCTGTCCATGACGGTGTGGTAAAAGTCTGGAAACTAGATTTTGCAAGAGGATGCAAAAATGGTTTCAGGCTATAGGGGTGCGATTTCACTGATGCGTCTTCGCAAACCTGCGTAACTTTTTTTTTTTTATTCCAATGGCGGGCACTTGCCTATAACGGCACTAGCCACTGCAAAGCGAGAAGCGGGGGCCATTTTATTGTGGAAGCACCTAATAGACGGCTACTGCTACCTCCAGTAAAGAGGCAGACAATTTTACATTCCTGCCTTCTCTGGATTCGAACTTGGGACCTTTGGTATCCCAGTCAGGCTTCCCTAACCCATCTAAGCCAGCGATGATATCGTCTGGGTGGCACCTGCGTAGCATCAAGGCATTCCCCTATCCGTACAAATACCTCAACTAACCCAATCAATAGTCTTTATACAAAAGTAATCCTTAATGACATTAAAAAATGGCCTTCTGTGTACATCCTGTAGATGGTTCACCCTGATTTTTTTATTGTTCATACCGTACAATAGAAAGCAAAATTGAGAGGTTTGACACATCTGTGCCCTCGCCATCCAGGATATGAAAATAGATTATGTTTCATTCTGTCATTTAGTATCGTCAGAGATGTCCTTCATTCTTCGAGGAACAACATTGTTTGAAAATGGCGTTAATTTTTCCACCACATTCTTCTCTAACATAACATATACTAAACGGTCCCTTTAATAAGAAGAACTATCAAATTTTCAGCAATTGCATTTACTACTTTCAGCGTTACGATACTTTTTTCTGTAGGACGCTACAGCTGTATTTCCGTTGTCTGTGTTAGCTAATAATAGATAAGAATTTACTTTAGGACCTTTAGACTGTGATTGAAAGATGCTTATTTGTTTGGCAATTGAGGAGTTTACTTCCTAAATGACACAGCAATAACAAAAGTTCCATACTTTCATTTGATAAAACCTCCTTACTTACTAGACACAGAAGATAGAAGCTGTCCTTATCTCCTGTAATTAAAAATCCAACCTTTAAAAATTTATAAGAATACTTTTATTTTTTTCTGGAAAAGCCAATATTTTCATTTTTCTTGCTATCTCTCGGCCTATCTTTTCAACTGGGGCTTTAATTGATAGCCAGCAGATACCTCGATGCACTTAAAGCAGAAGCAAAGTCACAGACATTACCTACGGTAATTTAGTTCTATTCCTATACATGCTTTAAAATCACTCGCACAATTTTATATTACAACAGTTTACATAAATTAACTGATAAAAGAAACTAAACAAGATTTCATATTCAAATTGGTTTGAGAGTCACAATTAGAAAACAATATAACTCACTCTCTCAGTATTAAAAATATTTATTGGCTGCCAATCCTCTTATCCGATACTCAGCGACAAAGCGACGAAGAGGAAAAAGGGAGGAAGTGAATTAGAGGATAGCTACATGCAATGTATCTGATAGGTCGCCGCAGGCCATGAGGGCGGATTGCTAGGCCGAAGCCCTATCCCAGTATAGCAATAATAGATATAGAACATAGCATAAATATCATGTATGATTTGTGATAGCAGTCTAGTGATGATAAACGATAAGCACAATGAAAGGTGTGCGTTGCAAGTTGGTAGATGTAGATAGCATCAGGAAGAGTAGTTAGAGATGATGAGCAGATGAATAAATGTAGAAGCAATCAATCAGGGAGGTAAACAGCTAGTGGTAGTGATGAGATGCGACGGAGGAAGTCAGCTATGGTCGTAGGGCCGAACGTGTTTTCAGTAGCGCGTGCCTTGGTAGCGATGAGCAAGGTAAATCAGCACAGTTACTTGGGGAGCATGAACGAGGAAACTGTTTCTTGGCTGAAGCTCGATGACTTACTGCGAGAAGGGAGTAAGAAAACCAGAGCGTACAGACATTTTGAGAAAAGGGGAGTAATGAAAAGAGACACAGACAATACAATGTATATAGAACTGAGTGATATGATATGTGTGTACGGGGAAAGTTACAGTAATTATGCTGCTTTTCACTAATTATGCAACACATAAAGCAACTAATTAGGCTTTTGCACATATTTCAATGAGTAATGCTCACATCAGATATCTTCAAAATTACCTTCCCTTTTATTCAATGGCAAATTTTAATTTCCTGAATAAATCGCTTTTTTATCAGCATTCATTATCTTACTTTTTCTGTATTACTTATAATTTTTCAAGTACCCTTGATTATGCCGTCATTTACGTCCAGAACGATGCATATCATAGATTGAGAACAGTTGGCTTAGAAGAACCAACAGTACAGTTATCGTTCATGTAGTTTTATACGAAAATTTAAGCATTTCTCAAAAACTAATAAAAAATTCGAAGTCATGTTTTAGAGGCATATAGTTACATAGCAGGCAAATATAAATATGAAATGCAAAAAAGCACACAGGTGGATAAAAAAATATCAGGAGTGGTTAAAATCTTGAGTTATTTGACCTATTATGAGTTTACTTGTAAGGGCTCAGAAATTAAAACTCTTTCAAATCCTTACCTCCTTAATATGGCAAAAAAACTGAAGCAGTAAACGGAAATGGAAGTCAGGAAGTATGCTAATGGAACTCTGTACCCTTCTTCCGTTTTCTCTCGGTTGCTGTAATAACCGTAAAAAATAGGCGAATACTTTAAATATCCCTGCAGAAGGAAGATATTTATCATTAGATAGACTAATTATGCAATAAAATGCATCAGTAAAACTAATTCATTTACAGATATAGTATGCCCAATTTGATATCGTGGCAAAAACTGACATGCAGCGTGTAAACAGAAACATGCTCTCATTTAAACTCCAAAGCTCTTAGTATAAATACTATCTAGCTATTTGCATTCTGATGACGAAAGGAAAGGAGAAGTTATAGTAAAGGCAGAAATTATAGATAATTGTTTAATTTTAAATAACAGTCCTACAAAGTAATTAAATGAAATGTTGCAGTTCAATATAGTTAATTAATGGATTTATAGGTTTCTAATGCCATATGTCAATATAGAGTAATTATTTGCAAACCGCCTAACGATGATTAACAATGGCAATCATTATTTTAAAAACATTGTTAAAATTACTTAGAAAATTTTAACAATACTGACTTCGAAATCCCAGATGTTTTTGAGATTTAGGGCGCTTTCTTTTTCGTCACTTTCTATTTCTTTGCGCATACCTGTCGGGTCTTCTGCTCCACGAAGTACCTATAACGAAACAGCCAACAACTATGGTATAAAAAATTAACAAGTACTGAATAATCAGTTATGTAAACTTAGTTTTGTTTAAGAAAAACATTATATATGTTTTGCACAAGAAAATGTTCCATGCAAGTTAGTTACTTTGAAGCACTTTACAATATTATGTAATTTATGAACGTAATAACAACATAATAAACGTAAAATAATGATGTAAGGTTTCTTTATAAGAAATCTTATGGTATTTTCTCATTAAGGTACTTCTTTTATCGAATTTTATGAACTCATTGAATATCCCTGCATTACTTCCTATCAAATTCTATACACAATTTCAAACAGCATTCGTTACCACAGATGCTCTAGGTGAGATGCTTTTGTGCCGCGACCCTTTTCGTGTCAAAAGTAGCAAATGGCGATTTGTTTTTTCATATGACTTCTAAATTCGCCAGACCTTACTACTTTAGAATTTTTTATTTTTTTAATTTTATTTATGTAATTATATTAAAAGTATTGCTTTTTTACTGTTGTATGAATCTGACCTCGATGAAGGCAAAATATACATTATGCGTGCCGCCAGTGCCAGTCACAACGGATATGTTCCAACACATGTGAACTGAAATGCACTAGAGACTGCCGATATCTTGCGCGATAGGACAAAAAAATGTGAATGGGAACCAAAACTTCATTGGTTTTACATATATATTTCCCACGCCCTAACTTGTACAGTCCCAGATTTTATGGAGAACACCCGGAGGAGGATGCATCTAATACTACTACTACCCACTCAGATAAATACAGCTATATCGCCTGACAGAAGGATCTCACATGGAATAACTTCAGTGCTTGATAAAAAATTTGCATAATTTAAATTTAATTTCATGCATCACAAGTAAATATGGCTCATCGAGGGACATATCTGAACATTAGATAGTTCGACATGTTTCAAATCTTGGTGAACGCGCTAGCAGCGTAGAACGTTTTGCGATTTTTCCCATGCGAGCCAATTTTCCTTGAAACGTCTTCCTGCAAGTCACTTGAACAGGTAGACAGACAGCCTTCAAGTGCTTTTCTACAATCAATAACCTTCATAACCTTGTCCCAGCATAACGGTGTCACACTGTTATGCAAATTGCTACTGTTCGAAAAGACAGAAATCTTTATAACAGTGCCGCAGCATAAGGGAGCGCACACAAACTGAAAATCGATTCCTAGGTTGAAACTGATTGTCGACACCCTAATGCCAAGCCGATGTTTTCCATAGACGTACGCATAATTTTTCCTTTATAAAATTTTTCTTTCCATAGCCGCCATACTTTCTGAAAGAGTAGATTTCAAACGCTGAATAATATGGAACAGTGATTCGCAAAACATGGGCTACAGAGTGAAATAATTTTCGTTGAGGAGTGAAAAGACATTTTAAGTTACAGTTATGCGTATTTATTTAAACAACGAATTAATGACAACTTGATTGTTGATAGTTATTCATATTTATTTGTTGCTAATCCGTTACAGCATTATTTTATTCCGGATACTTTTCCATCTCTTTTTATCAACTTTTTTTTTGATAATTTCTAGCAAGCATCTTCAAAACATTCCATTACTATCAGTGCTTTTTTATGTATGAAATCGACTACATTAATAGCTGAAGTAGTCAATTAGAATACTAGAATACTTAAACTATTAAACATAATGCATGGGAAAAAGTAATATTAAAAACTTAATGAAGAAATTTGTGTTAAAGTTGAAATCCACATTTATTTAAGATAAAAAATGTAAATAAAAGAAACTTAAATACGTTCTTTTTCACTTCTTATGTATAGCAATTCGTCGCTCTGGGGAAAATAAAGTTTAATTTTCAAATAATTCGAGTTCTCTTCCGAGATGCATAACCTGAAAAATTGTTCCTGATTGACGGAAACTTCGGTACCTTTATGCCAATCAGGCCTTTTTCATAGGTTCTGTGTAACAATTTAGCGTTTTTCCATAGTGGTGCCGAAGATTTATTTCATACCCTGCTTAATGCATTAATCAGTAACTGAAACCAAAATCAGATTTGCTTAAAGGTACACGCACATTTAACAAACGAGGGACTGACATAAGGATGCCGATGATCAGTTCAAGCGAGAAACTGATCTTCAATTTTGCACGCTCCATTATGCTGCGGTACCGTTATGAAGATTTTTGTCTTTTAGAATAGTGGTTGACCTGTTAGTAAAGATATGGCATCGGTATGAAGGCGTTCTATTCAAATAATCTGTTCCATTCCAATCACAGTAAATATGTTGCAATTACACTGTTTGCTGCAATCATTTGTAACGAGGTGATTCACTCTGATTTACTTCAAACAATCAACAGTATTCAGTTTTATGAGTTTACATTAACAGGTCAGAGCAAAAAGGAAATGTAATCTCTATTGCAGCTTCAAGTGACAAATTTTTAGAAATGAAGATATCAACTAAAAGTAACTCAAGAAGAATTTAGAGTTAACGTTGATATTCTCTGTATTCACGTCAAGTACTCCAAAATATACAAACCTGCTTACAGAATGTTGGTAAAATATTACCAAGCACTTAAGCTCTGTAGCCCACAGTTCACCCTAACTCACGGCTCCTTGAAGCATCCTATTTTTACCATAGTCAAACAAAGAGACGACGCTATTAGAAACTTGCAGAAAATCAATACTAGGTTCTAGGAATTATTTTCCGGGAAGTTCCCAAATATTGAGAATTTGGAAGCAAATTTCTGACATCAAAGCTTGATAAATATCAGAAGAACATAAGAAGCCTATATCTCGGATTCTCTTTATGTTTCTTATAATTACAAGCGTTACAAAACAATAAAGCAATTATACGCACACCAACAAAATATAGCACTACAAAATAAAGATTACACATAATACAGTATAAATAAACATAATATTTCAAGGAATTATCGCATACGGCGTGTTCATGGTGTAAGTAGTTAACACGTCAATCCAAGAAGTGAAAGATCAATTGTTGGAATCCCAAAAGGGAATAGTTTGGACAGTAACTCATCACCACCTATATTCGGTCGACTGGATCTCATATCTCTTCGTAGTTGCCATTTAATTGAAGGACAACGTAAGGAAATTTGTAATGCCCCTTTCGTGCTCTCGTGAAGCAAGGGACTAGCATGTTCAGGTAGCAAGTGGAAGACCCGTGGTTAGAATCTTTGCGAGAGACACGACAGATTTTTTTTGCCTGCAAAACATAATGTGTATCTATAGTGGAGCGCCCGAACTACTGAACTAAAGTCTAATGCATGATAATTCGTTACAATCCTGTCGACTTATGATTTCTGGCATGACTGGGTTATTTATGTCTTCCAAATCACCCTTTAAATGGAAAAGAGAACTAGGAATTGCTGCATTCCTCTCCTGGCATAAGTGGTTAGTACATCCAACTAACATGTAAGAGATCTGTAATTCAAATCTTGAAGACAGGCACATATGTTTTCATATTCTTCGCTCCAAAATCCTACTAGTCTCACCAATGTTGTCATAGAAATATACAAAATAAATAATTGAAAGCTATTATATAATAACGCAAAATAGACGAATACTGTTGTATAATAAATTAACATAAAGATTTACAGCAATATCTATATTTTGAAATAATTATACATAACCAATAAAATTTTTAAGAACTATCTCTCTTTAATTTACTGGTTATTGAGGTTATTCCCAAATAAAATAATAAAAAAAAAAGACGGAGAAAGAAGACAACGAAAAACAAACTTACTTCAGGCACCATTAGGAAACAACACACGAAGGCAGAAATAAAGCAGTTGATCCAGAATACCCATCTAAGAAAGGTGAAATAAGAAGCCACCACAGATCCAAAGTGACCTACGAAAGATATTAACTTCTTCAACTGCACTTATCACTTCGTTAGCTGTAACAATCATTTTGAAACTTCTACAAAGCAGTGAAGGCGAATTTCAATAACTGAGTCTAACAAGTCAGTGGCGTGCCGTCAATAAATTAGAGGGGCTAAGCTAATCACTATAAAAAATCACGTATATGCAAACTTCTACCCGGTTTTCCAACACAAATCAGAGGATTTACATCAAAGACGACAGTGAATGATTGGTACATTTTAGCAATAAAAATGCAGAACAATAAAGTCTATATCTATATAATAAGCTGAGTTTGTTATATTAATTTATTCATTTTAGTGAGAAAATAAAAATTCTTAAGGAGCATTTCAGGCATTGTTACTGTACGAGTTTAGTAATGCCGCAGTCTCACTTTGAAATAGCATTTTTAAATAATTTAAACTAAATTTTTCAATTTTTAGTCCAAACGGTGTTAGCCCAGAACACCGTTTGCCTTTGGTATTATGCGTTGATTCATTACAAGCGTTGTTTCACTTTGCAAATTGTTGCCGCCAAATATTATCGCCCTGTATTATATTTAAAGAAATTAAATAATGAAGAATCTGCATAAATGAATGCATGTTTCTTGCATTGTGATAAAACAACGGTACCTAAAGCCATCCAATTTGAAATAACGTAATCCTCCTGCGAATATGGCTATCTGAAAGCCCAAATTTGAAATTTGGAATTTGTTTTATTATCGATTTCATGTTTTGTAAAACTTTTAACGAATTTTTGATTAAGAAAGTCAACGATTTCAAAGCGGGCAATGGCAACATTGTACGAAAAAAAAAAACATTTTTATCTCCAGCGCTTGAGACTGTGTATCGGAAATTCTCAAGATATGCTTTTAAAATTGTTCTGTGATATTGGTCTTGAACTGAATTTTATGGTTTAAGTGCGAAGAACCTGATATTTGATAAATAAAAGTAACACGAGGGAAAAAAAAAGAAAAAAAAAAAACCCTTTGGACGCAGTTTGAAATATGAAACATTTAAGATTTTATTACTATTATTATTTTTGTTTTGTTTTTAGTATTTTTTATATTGTTAAGAATAAACTATTTATTCATAGTTATAAATCAGTAATTTGGAAAAAGGATCCGAACAATGGTATTAATGCTAATTAATTTTTCGTGCAAAATTGACGCGTAGTAAAACTAAAACAGAACAACCAACAAACTAAATGACTGCGTGTAATAATAAATTGCAATTAAAATTTAATGTGAGTTTTAGTGAGATTTATTATTCATTCACTTCTTTTAATAAATATAACAATGTTAATAGTTTTTTTAAACTATTATTGATTTACCATTCAATTTTTGCGCGCTTTTGGGAAATAATCCATTTTTCTTATCGGAGCTGGTATGGGAACTGCCTCTTTTTAGAAACCAAGCATCTGGTCTCTTGAAGTTTATTATGGCGCAGCTCGACTCTTTTTTCAGAAAATTTCAGAATCGTGTGCTGAAAAGCTGAGAGGGGGGTATACAAGAGTAAATATGTTACTACGTCTAACAAGAGAAGAGGATGATCTGTATTTTTTTTTACATTGTATTTACGTTCAGCCATCCTAATTCACAAGAAACTATTTTATTTGAGGTATTTCATATCTGAATGTGGTTCCTGTTAAAGGATTTGTCATACTTTATTGTAGTAAATAAATAATGTCACTTTAAAATCCTTTGAAATTTCAAATCATTAAACGTGTAACAACCTCATCTTTCTTACATAGGAATGCAATCAAAGAAAAGAGTTCCTCTAATTTAAAATAGAAATAAAAATACAACTTAAACCCCTATTCCAGATTTTATTTTTCTGTCACGAGCTATACACTCCAAAAGCCTTACGCAGATGTTCAGCAAGCAACGTCAAGTCATTGCCATGATCTCAGTATGAGTAATGGCTTTCATTTTCTTAAATTTCTGCGATCCTATGTGACAATTATTTTAAATTTTGCTAACTGGTAAACTTAATTTTATCTTATTTTCACTTTGGTTCACATCACATGTGTTGGTTCCGACCAGAATATAGTTCAGATTAAGAGCATGCGAAAAGTAGCTTAACCCATTAGCCGCTGGTGTTGCGTTGACGCAACTGTCAAAATAAATGCGTATATAAATATAACTACGAAAGATATTTTTTACCAGCATATGAAATAGATCACCGTTTATCAGAACATTACACCAGTCAGATGTTTATATTTGTGTTGGGAAGGAAGGGAAAACAGGTGTTGCGTTGACGCAACGTCAGCAGGAAACGGGTAGTCAATCTCCTTTTTCACTCATTCCTTTCGATGTTCTGGTTCATGTTCTGGTTGTTTAAAAATGCCTAGAACGAGGTATCTTACATTAGAAGAAGCCCTTCAAAGATTTTTTGATGAAGAAACAGATGATGATAATGTTAATAATGACCAGAAATGAAAACTGATATTGTTGTTGTTCCCGCAGAAATTGCAGAGGCTAGTGACGAAGAAGAAAGGAATGGCAATGTTTTAAATAATGATAATGATATTTTACAAAATGATACTGCTGGGGAAGTTGAAATTCACGTAAGAAGTAAGTTTCAGCCTTCTAACAGCAGTTATAGTCATACTAAAAAGTTCAAAAAGCTGAAGACTGAAATCTTGAAGTGGATAAAAAAGGAACTGTTAGTTATGTTTCAGGAAGAACATGAAGAAAGAGATAGAAGAGAAATTATAAAAGACAAAACACAAGGTAAAACAAGTGCACAGATTTTCGATTTTCTTTTTGGTTTAGACATTTAGTCTCTTCTCGTTGAACAGACAAATACTCGTATATACGCTCAGCAAAAAAAAAAAAAAAAAAAAAAAAAAAAAAAAAAAATTAATTGGAATATTATTGCTTACAGGATATCATTCTTTACCTCAAGAAAAAATGTATTGGTCTTTTGATAAGGACATTTCTCTTTCTGTTGCACGAGAATTGATATCACTCTTGCAGTACAGGAATATGAAGCAGAATTTGCACTTGACAATAGTCATATTGACACTACTTATAAATTATATGAGGTGAGACAGTATCTAAACTTACTAAATATCACCACTTTTTACTACTGGAAATATAAAGTCTCTTTTAGATTTCAGATGCGAGAATGCATTATTCCTTTTGCAAACTCCTATCGAGAGTGTAGAATTCGCCAGAAATAGATCAGCAACAAGAAGACCTAGTAAATTCTGCATTCAAAAAAACCACTGCATGGAGATGGTAGGTATTTTATTCGTAAAGTCCGTTGATAACAAAAGACTTTCGTTGTAAAGGAGTACCATAGCCAGACTGTTTTATAGATGCAAAGTATGTAATGTAGCTTTACATCATGATTGTAATGACAAGCTTTTCATGCTTGAATCTTTCAATTGAAATAATCTGTATATGTAAAAGAAATATAATGTATATTTTAATATTAAATTAATTACAAGTAAAGGGATTTGTAGATTCATAAAACGTTATACAGCTAAAAAAAAATCCTGCGTTCCACTCAAAAGAAACATCACACGAGTACAATCCTACTCACTAAACATCTGTAGTTTTATTCCGCTGACGTTGCGCGAACGCAACACTCGCTTTTTCCACAGGTAAGAGCATTTTTTTATTTTCAATGTAAATTTATGTTATAAATGCTTAATTTAATATTTGTTATTATTTTCATGAGAAAAGAAACACTCCTTGTAGTTTTGGCGGTTAATGGGTTAAAACTAGTTAAATTAATTTGCAACTTATGCTTCTTGAAGTGAAAGCTGGCGTGCTGTCTGTGAGAAATAGCATCCGTTTGTATTTGTGGGAGACTACACCGTTTTTATTTGAAGAATGGTAAATGCTTTTCTAATATTACTGAGCGAAATATCCAGGTGCTTTGTTTGAGAGATATTGTTCTGGATGGTCGTAATATTTCGAAGCAAGCCGCTTAATTGTTAACTGCCTTGTCGGGAAGAAATTGACCATTTTACAATGATACTTTCTAGTTTTAAGTTTAACTCACTAAGATTGGACAAATTACCGTGTCTGTGGTCCAGTGACTCAGTTGATTATAATCAGAGCAATAACTTCCCGACAGTACCCATCAAGTTAGTTCTAAGTGAAATACCGTTATGTAAGCATGCATTGAAGATAATTTAAGAAGTTGAATTAAAACCTATGTTTAGAGACTTCAGCTTTTAGGTACATAAAGAAAATAATCACAAGTGTACAGATACGGCAAACGATCCGTTTAGTCCATTATCACAGAGTTATGAATAGCATATTCTGGAATCATTTCTCACATAATTTCCTTAGGTTCATTTGACTTGTGTGCTATAGCTTCCTCTTGTTAAAGTGCATTTCCAAGATCGTTGACTGTAGAAAATCGCGTAACATCTTCGCATACATTGACATATCACAGAAACATGCATTATTCTTTCTTAAAACAGTATGATCCTGTTAATACCCTCCTTCATGACAACTGAAATGTCATGGCTTGTGCTGTTCAAATATGCAAGTTTTTTTTAAAAAATGAGAAAATTTTAAAAGAAAATAGAATATACAGAAACACCCATTTTTGCCCTAGAGTATGCATGACCGAAAATGAAATGTAAAAGTGCTAAACGGTATTTGCTAGTTAAATCAGAAACATACAGACTATCCTCAAGAATGACATAGAAGATAAAAAACGTTTAATCACTAATAATTATAAAAATGTTTTGAAAAGCAACCACTTATACAACTGAATGAATAGAAGGGTTAGGGAACTTTATTGATAGCACACACATTACCCTCAGTTGCTATACCGATAGAAATTCTGACAACGAGTTCTTGATCAAAGTCAAGAAAAGGCTCAAAGATTTGGTTATTTGAGTAATACGTCAACTCGAAATAGGTCAATTATTTCACTTATTCCTTGACAATTATTTGACTAGTGACCTTTGCCAACTGTGGTTATTTGGCAAAGGTCACTAGGGTTTTTGCCTAAGGAGAGGAATGCCTCTATAGATATTCAAGGTTAGATATTCAGGCAAGACCTCCTGCAAGAAAATATGGTACTTTTCTCATCAAATTGACAAGTGCATATCGTTTATGGGCTGAAATATTGGCCCAATTCGAAAAATACGAATTCTGAATTATGATCGTCCCCAACATAGTAAACTCATCTTCTTTGTGACAGCAGCACTACAAATATTTTAGTTCCGTACCGCATTACAAATGGCAGTAGTATCTCTGATGCATTCTTTTGTTTCTTGAGCCTATTGACTGCAATACTGATGCCTCTTAGTTTGCTTGCTACTTGTGTGCCGTGGCATACTTGCAGATGAAAAACATAATTTATAATTGCAATGAGTCCCCATCTGTATTCTATCGCAATATGCCTCTTTAATTAAAGTTGCAAAGAAACAAAGCAACCCTTTCAAATTTTTGGAAATAGGACATAACGACTTCAAATACATATCGATACGACTTCAAATACATATCGATACGACTTCAAATACATATCGATATACACATCAATCATAAGACCCGTTACATCAGTCGTTATAACGATTGATGTAAATGATCTCACACAGCAGACATGTTAAAATTTTATTGAAGTCTTAACAGTGGCACTGCATATTTAACAATCTATATGCACTGAAATTAAAAAAAACAATAATATGATTACATCTTCTACAAGAATTTCAAAAACAAATTTTAAAACAGTCAGTGTGAAAGCCTTCAGAGGCAGGAAAAGTTTGCAGTCCTTCCAGAAAGCAGTACTGAAAACCTTACTTCTCGCAATAACTAAGAAAAAACTTGACGATCTGCGGTTTAACTGCCCGCAGTGCGATACCAAACTATAATTTAACATTTTATAACAATCTAAAATGTGAATCGTAAAAATATGCTCTATTTTGAAAGTTATATAAAATACAGGCTATTCTTGACAAATTGTTCGCTTTCTTTTGTATTTTGATTAACGATGTAGCACTGAACCATTAAGAATGCTATTTTATAATTTTGTAGTACGTGTTATATAATGTAGTAAAATTATTGATAAAATTTAATTTCTTGTCTCTACATATTTTTCATTATTATAAGCCATAAATATATATTATAGTTTATGATAATGTATGAAAAAATAACAACAATAGCACAATTTGATAAAATTTATTATTAAGTAATGTTAATTCTATGATATTTTATAGTTATTGTCATTAACAGAACTTCTGTGAATCCTTTCCTTAATGCTTATTCTTTAATCCATAAATTAAGTGGGTGAGTCCTGCATTTCAAAACTAAGGAAAACTTTAAACACGTGTCTCTCAAAACTTTACTTTTTGACTTGTGTCAGTATTGTTTTTTGGTTTATTTGATTGTGGCAAAGCATTCTCTAGGGATATCTGCCTAAGAGAATGGATGCTTTCTGGAGGACTTTCTAAGGGAAACTGGCTCTTATATACGTCAAACATGGCGGAAAACACGAAGGTGTCCATGCAGCCAGCCTGTTCGCCGGGATTCGAACCTCAGGCTGAACTACCAGTGTTTAATGACTTTACAATTCCTTCGCTGGTGAGTATTGCAGCCCATGAACGATATACGCTTTCTCGCCAGTCGTGTGTTGATTCTTCATTTCTGAATTTGAAGCTTGAACTCATTTATACTTACAGAAAAGCCATTTGCTGGCAAGCAAGGGCCTTCCAGTTCCTTTAGGTTTCATTTTCGATAACGTATTCTATGACAAAAATATTATTGTTTTTGCGAATTCTACCATTCCTTAAAGTTTGTCCAATTTTTGTTTATAGAAACACCCTGTATGTACCGCTCAGTCAAACAGTATACATATTCAGGCGAAATGCGGCCAATTAAAATTGGGACAATTATTTTATCGGCTACTATGAACCTAGCATATATCAGAAATGTAAAAAAAATGCTGGTAATTTTTCAGAATTTCAGAAGACTTGTAACAAAAAAAAAAAAAAAAAAAAAAAAAAAAAAAAAAAAAATGGGTATATGCCTTTTTTGCGTCTGATAATCTTTTAAGAACTTAAGCTGATTAGAAAAAAATATTACTTTCTATCCTTTTGATACGCATTTCCCATGGCGTCAACATAACCATAAAATTGGCAACTTCTCTCTTGAATCGATTCAGACCCTGCGAAGAAAAAGTATGAAACGTAATTCTATAAAAAATAATGAAATGAGATATAAATGATAAAAGATTTATTATTTAGGCAAATTAACGCTACTGTCAATAAAATTACTGAAGAAAAGGTATACAAGCTTGGGCTTCAAAGGTCTGACGATTTTCGGATTACAAACACTATTATAACGCATAACTCAAATTTTTATCTTATTTTCCAGAACAATAGGAAACACAAAGTAATTTATTATAATAACAGAACTATTCTTCGCATAATCTTTTTTATTTTTTAAGAGTGAATTTTTCTAAATATTGCAGAACTCCTTTGCTCCATAACTGTATCATCGTGGAACAGATTTCAAGAGGGTACAGCTCTAGCAAGATAAAGCAATATTAAATACTGACGAAAAACGTGAGACAATGCTTCTGCAAATATTTCTCGTCATTATGACATCAATAACAGAAAATATTTCATAGCCGAACCGTTCTCTAGACTTTCCAGTATACAACTAAAAAGGGATCACATCTAGTGACGCGCGGTGCCAGGCGAGACATTTCGGAGAAACGAGTTTCTAGTATTATTTGTTTTATCGGCAGAGTTCCGAGAAGAACCAACTCCACTGGAAACGATATTCCGGCCAGCTACAGAAGCAAAGTCCTGGCTACGCGGAACATTTTGGAACTTTTCCGGAAATTATACACAAATACATAGGGTAATTGGGGTTAAAAAACTTCAAAAATATTTGTTCCGTAAGAAGACACCAATCAGCTATTAAAGTTCCTTTTAATTTAAAAAAAATGCCATAAAAGAACCATTAATGTTTGGACAGACAAGGACATAAGATTACAATATGCAATAGTTCTAAACTCGTTAAAGATAATTACGTTCTAAGGCAATAAGCATAAAATATTCTGCAAAAACATTATGTAACAGTTATTAAGAGGTACACATTTAAATTATTTACAATCATGTAGGTAAACTAATAAAGGATATGCATATACTGCCGCTTACTTACTCTACTCCACCACAGCCTATACTTGGCGAAAACGTCCTTTGATCGTTTACTTTGAGCCAATTCTCCTTCGTGCTTGCGGACGTATGCCTTCGCTTTTCTAAGGAAAAAAATCAGAAAGTGTTATTTGAAATACATAACTGCGACTCTGTTTTACTTACACTTAAATTAAACACTCTTCTGTCTTCTCTTTGTTTCATGTCCCATTCGCTCAATCCAGAAGGTTAGGCAAATTAAGAGCACATGAAACAAAAACAAACAGGTTAACCGCAATTAATGCCAATCGGAATGAATGCTCATGTACTAACTAAGAAAAATTACACTGGGGAACAGTAATTTCGTTGTCTTAGATCTGTCATTTGTTTTTGAATAACTTTTGATCTCTGATCCAAAATATTACCTCATTTTTCGTCTATCGCGTTATATGGTCGTTCTCTTTTGTCCCACATAAACTATTAGATTAGATCCTAAAATGACCTGGCGAATTCTCGCACAGCTATGAAGAAACTACCAACTCAGAAGAAGAGTGAAAATAACCCGTTATTAATTCAAAATAGATAACAGAAAGGCACGGTCTTCGTGCGTTTCAAAGGCATCGTCAAACTTGCGAGGAAAACTAAAAACGTAGAATATAATTTAAGTCAAACCTAAAATAAATAGTGCTAGATAGCACTTAAATTACTCCGAGGTAGACTCGCAAAACCTAACAGGCGTGATGGTAAATCCCATATGGCCAAGAAGCTTACTAGAGTAATAGCGAAACAAGAACGTAACGTGAGCTGGCTAGCGAAACCACGCTCTGAATAAACTCAGAAAGTCACCCTTTTCAATATGCACTTCGCTTAACTTCATATCTACATACTGGCAAGAAATGTGCGCCCTAACCACAACTACAACTCTAGAGACATTAGGTTAATTGGAAGCAGGAAAAATGAAAAATGAGCAACTCCTTCGCCGGGAATCGAACCACTGACCTCTAGAATACGCGCCCTGCGTGTAGAACCCACTACATTACGAAGGCATGCTAAGAAAACTGGAGAAATACCTTATATACTGCCCCTTTTAAAGATGGACTGGGGTTTTTAGAGACCCAATTGCCAAATCCTGAGTGTGGAGAATCATCATTTACCACCCTTTTAGTTCGGGCGCCTCTGTAGAGTCATTAGGTATTTTTGGAAGCAGGAGAAGCGAAAAATGAGCAACGCCCTCGCCGGGAATCGAACCACAGACCTCTGGAATACGCGCCCAGCGTGCAGACCACTACACTACGAAGTCATGCTAAGAAAGCGGGAGAACTACCTCATACAACTACCGGACGGACTCACACCAAACCTCTCGAAGTGGTGTTGAAATCTACCATGCCCAATGACAAGCTTGCTGAAATCTACCATGCCCACTACCAATGACAAGCTGGTTGATATAATAGTTGCCATTAAGCGCTCTTGTATCAACTTTATTCATACATTAGAACGTCAAACGTCCCTTACAAGACGACTCCCAGAGAATTTGCTGCTGACGAATGACTGAATCATTCAGGTATCGTTTAAATCTTGAAACTGGGAAGGAACACGGCACTTTATTTTGGAGACCGCAGTATTTATTTATTCCCAGTTGCCGTGCGAGTTGTTAAGTGACTGCTTAGTTCGTAGGAAACTATCAGATGCGATATTTGAGAGAAACTTGTTCTTGCCAAATTTGTAATCCTAAAATGCAAATCGCTACACTTTCTTAACTTATCTTCGATAGTTTATCGACTATTTTCTGCCATATTTTAAAATTTTTGTTGCAATTTACTAGGAATGGCTAAATTTAGTTGTAATATGTCTGGAATAGCGTTAACTTTCTAGCATGAAATGAATAGCTCTGCATGAAGTACCGCTTGGTGTGCAGACTGGTAAGGCTAATTTAGAGCAATGTTAAGTAAAAGGTTTATGAGCAAAATATAACAATTCTTTAATGAATGGGGAAAGATGGAATTCTGAGAATAGAGGATTGCATACAAAGTATATTTATATGCGACATATAAAGATAAAAAAACCTTCAGTTGATGCTGTTCCATACCGATAAACATTCTACATCTATCTGGAAAGCTACTGACGCCACCAGAAACATTTTGAATGATATCAGCAAAGATTAGTCCTGATTTCAGATAATCTCTTCTTTTGCAGGAAATTTGTTCTCCAGGCAGTTCTTTTAGATTTGAGGAAAGGTCAAAGTTTAAGTACGAACTGAAACTCCGAAACAAAGTTGCAGTAAATGGCGTTATCCATCGTTTCTCCAATTAAAGAAAACCATGGTATAAATACTTGAGTTTCTATAATTTATGTTAAATTAGTATATGACGCGAAAGTTCTTAAATCCACCATGCAATTTTTAAAACAGCATATTCTTGCGTGCGTACGGGTTCGTAAAATGTAGATTGAATGCACAAATACGATAAAAAGTTAATAAAATTTATTCTTATCACAAGAATAAATAGCAAAACGCAAGATTTTTTCCCCTGAAAGATATTCGTATAATATCGCAATATCATGCAATATAATCAGTAGCTCTATTTTAAGCTACTAAAATGTTACACAGAACACAATACAAAGCGCAGAGAAAGTTAATCCGATCAAAATTTAAAGTAGCTAAGTAAGCAACAACAGCTCACTAAAACACCTGAAATGAGATGTTTCTGTCCGACTTTTTAAAGCTTTTTAATTGCGTACGAGAACATTCTGGTAATTACTATGTTCTCGATGTTTCTTCAAACATATTAAAAAACTTTATAAAAATTGCTCTAATAATGTATGGGTCACCTTTCCTCTTTATAACCCCGGAATCTTTTAGGCAGGGTTTCGTTGATTGGGATTTACTTCTATATTTTTCCATTTTGGGGTGAATTTTTAACCGAGTGCATTTCTCTTGTAAATTCTGTTTTTATTGAGTTGTCTTAAGAATGACGCCAAACGTGTTTAAAATTGAAGTCTGACAAGCGTTTTGATTACATGGGTATAATAAGGTATATAGGTATATAAAATCCACAGGTTGCAAAAATGAACGTTGTTCTTCGGATAAAAATTCATTGTGACAATATGCCCAGTTTTATATTCTGCATTTCAAATTTTAATTTTAAATATTTAAGCACATAAAGTTATCAATTTTGCTATCAATACAATATAGAACTCATATAGCCAAGATCGTAGGGCCACCTCCATACTGTTTTACTGAAGAATTCTTCATTTGAAGTTCAACATTAACTTTTAATTACTCCCTAAACATTAAATTTACTTTTATCTCCAAATATAGCCTAATTCCAACAATTCTGAATGTTTTTTAATATAGTGAATTATAAACATACTCTTAGATTCGCTTTATTGAGAAATCGATTTTTCTAGTACTCGGCCATAAAAATTATAATTTATCATGATATTTCTAACAGATTAAGCATTGCTAGTTTTGCTAATTATTCGTTGGCCATTTAACAATTAAGTCTGATTTCTAATGATGGTAACTATATGGAATTAGAGATTTCACTGGCTAAATCATATTTCATCATATATGGGAATAATTATATAGAATTATAAATCATATTTCTAACGATCCTCTTTTCTCCGTGTTCAGTGAATATCCTTCGATGCTTTATTTGTGACTTGTTTTCAGGCAAATTGTTTCGCAGTATTTCAGAATTAAATTCAACAGTATATTGTATAATATAGTTTTCATGCAACAAACTGAAAAAGACGATCAAGTAAACTTAATTATGTCATTTCTGTAATTGAATAGTTGTAGAAAAAAGAAAACAATCCCCAAAATGAGGGCACAAAAAGATTATTCTCTTACAGGAAGTAGAAAAACTTAAAGTTGTACTATTTCAAGAAGACTGTTCATACTGGTTCTTATTCACTATGGAAAAAGTACGAAAAAAAAACCATGTAGCTAGTTGGTTCAGTTGCATTTGAAGCCAGATTTAATGACCAGCATTCGGGGCATTGAACCAGTTGGCCAATGATGGGGGCTTTTGAAAATGAACTGAAAGTGCTGGTGGCCAGAAGCTGTTACTTCGTAATTTTAACATAATAAACCCTTCAGATTTTCTGAAAAAAAAAAGAGATGTCAATCTGTGGAATAAGGGATGAACGTAGTCGAGAGAGATGAATAACACTTTTACATTTTTGATACAGCGTAAACGTCATCTAAGACGAAAATTATAGGAAAAGCATGATTAACAGCCACAGGGAAGGCGGGACTTACAGCGCTTTGACTTTTCACAAATAAAAAAATCTCGAATGAGACAACTATATTGATAAAGTTATAACTTATATGCAAGAAACAAAACTTCCATTTAGCACTTATTTGTTGTCTAGAGAAGTTTACCCAATACCTGGCGTGTTATTCTCTCTTCCTGATACTGCTTATGTATCAAAATAAAAAACGTAACTTATAAAGTATTTCTCCCGCCTTCTTGGCATGCCTTCGTGGTGTGGTGGTCTGCACGTTGGGCGCATATTCCAGAGGTCCGTGGTTCGATTCTTGGCGAAGGTGTTGCTAATTTTTCATGACTCCTGCTTCCCAAAAAATACCTAATGTCTCTACAAACTCAAAGGTGAAACTTTAACAGAAATTTATTTTCCAAGTTTTGTGAATTTTAACGAAAGTTCAAATGAACTCTTAAACTAAAACAACTGCTTCTCGTCCAAACTTTACAACAGACAGACTTCTTGCTTTCACTATTCCCATTCAGTTACAGCAATCGCCTAAACGCAAAACTACAAATCCCCTGGAGTCTGAAAGGATATCTAACTTTCTCTAAAAACTTATCAAAACGTCATATACCTCTGTAATCTCTTCTTAAAGTTTATGCAGGCAATTTCCACAGGCAAAACAGCAGCAATAAGAAGCAAGATTTACTAGGTGCAAGACTAAGATTCATCTTTTTTCCTTAAATTGATGTCTCTTGACGTGCAACTTGCATAAATATCTAGTCTGAATGAGTTTCGTGACAAGACAAATAGAAGAGGAGAGAATTTTGCTTAAAATTAATAGATAGGAAAATTTAAAGAATAACTATCACCAAGCCATGATTAATTAATATGAAAATTTTTCAAGGCAACAGCAATCCATTTTTTTTAAATTCTGCTGAATTCCTTTGATTCTACATACATGTTACAGGTTACAGGCGGCTTTTAATGGCCGACGTTGTAAATTCAAATCACTACAATGTTTATGCCTCTCTATAAAACTTCCTAAAAGTGATTAATATTTATTACATCGCTGATTTATATGGAAAAGATTCCATAAAATTTCAGTTATTAATACTCTGATATATTAAACGAATTTTGGTTATAATAACAATGAATTTCCAAATTGCTGTGTTGTTTCAATGCTTTTCCCTGCTGCTGTACTTGAATAATCCGATAAGTGTATCCAAATGATAACATTAATCACGATCGGATTAACAGGCAACTATTGTATAATTAATTATATTTGGATAGTACATATAAAATGATTTACCGCAATATTTTGTATTTTTTCTTCATTCTCCAAGGTTGCAGTTTGATAGTTTCAATGATCTGTTTGTTGAGGCGCATGTTTTCTTTCACCTCTTCGGGTGTCTCCTCTTCTTCTATCGAAATGGCAGTGTCACTGAAACATTAAATTATATCAATATACATCTTTATTGCACTCACCTCTTTTACTAGTCTATAGCATGTTGCATGAATTTTGCATAAGTGCATAACCAATTTACACTGAAAAGAGAAATTATTACATACATTCATGATGCTATCACGTCAATGAGCTCAATGGAATCTTGTTATTGTAAAAGCGTTTCATGTGAACCTAAGTAAGAGTTGTGAAGAAAATGTGCTAAATAAATCTTATAAAATGAACAAGGTAAGCCTCACTACAAATCATGTCGGATGATTCTTGCAAGCCGCTGGTGTTACTTGATTGTTACTTGCAAGCCGCTGGTGTCGTCTGCCCCAAACTATAAATATAGCAAGGACGATGTTCGATATCAACACCAGTGGTGGAACGAAGTGGTATTGAACAGTATGTAATATAATAATTTGGCTTTTTTTGTGTATTTCTAATAAATCATTTTAATATTATTGCTAAAAGTATACAAAATTTACTTTACGTTTAAAAGAGAAAAATATTCAAATCAATAGTTCGTGCAAAAACTAAATTTTACCTGTGAAATAAATATTTTTATTGTGTTAACAAAAATACAAACCATCAATTCAATATTTTTCTGAATCATTCACGGAATTCTTCTAATATTAATCTAAACACCCTCAGCATATATTGTTGGCCCATAAAAAGAATTTTTTTCCTTCGTAAAGTATCTTTGTAGCAACTTTATATTGCGCAATCATGCCTGGAATGCGATTAAATCTTAACCGAGCATCCAAATTTTAAATCTGTTATGTAGCTGAAATAAAATTGACGTAAAATAAATATTGTTGCAATGCTATCCGAATTGTAATCATGCCTCGGTATAAAAAGCATTTGATACGCAATCTCTTTGCTCGCTCTTTGTGGTTTCCATGCTTCTTCCTCTGCTTCGCCTTTCCGCTTGTCTTAAGAAGTTATAAACTCTGCAAAATTGCGGGATGCATGTCGCACCCATAAATGCTGCTTTTGAATCTTTGTATGCGTATTAAAGTTTGAACTATTACGAAAATAAAATCATGCGTTCAAATCAGCAGCCATGTCCACATTTTTTTATGCATCCATCTACCACGCCAAATTATTAAGCAAGCTTCTTCCGAATTTCATCTAACACACACATACACACTCACACACAGATATCACGATCATATCACGTTATATCATATCACGATATACATATATATACGATTCAAAGTAAAATAAAATAAAAAATACGTCTAAAATATATCCCATATCCACATCGGAAAGAACCACACGCAAAAGTCAAAAAACAGAAGCAAAGTGGCAAAAGGCAAGAAATAGGGGGCCAAATATGACTAAACTCAAAATGAAGTATAAAATTTAGTCGCGTCGTCATCAGGTGCAACGTAAAAAGTAACTAAATAAAACAGCCTGTTTCTGAATCGTCAAAGGCACAAAACTTAAAATTAAAAAATATTTTTAGACAACAATCAAAGTAGTACATGCACAGTTATCAGTACAATTCCATTAAAAATGTTGGGAATAATTTCCAAGATTTCAATTTTAGTAATGCTGATTAAAATGTTCCAAATTCAGAAGCGTAACATGCATTTGCTTTGACTCTATTTGAGTAATACTAATTAATTCTATTTGAGTCATACTTTTCAATTAAGGATCTGTGGTTATTTATTCTGAGATTGAGGAAAATTTTGGTTTTCCCAATATATTTTAAATTATGGATATGGAAAGTGATGGCATAAACGCGGTTAAATGTTTTTCAAAAGTTTTGATCAGAATTTTCAAATAAATTGCGTGCATTGTTAATACAGGTCAATCAGTTAGTATTCATATAATTGATAATCATTGAAAGGAGCCGTGAATAAAAACAGTATTGAGGGGGCTGGCCTGAATACTGTGCATGGTAGTGATCACAACAAGCGGCTAATCAGCAGTGATAAGACATAAAAATAACACAAAAATACATATAAATATACCAAATGAAAAAATACAAAAATCACATAAAAATGCTTCACCAGCTCAACACATCAGCATTACGAAATATTCGCTGAAGCGACAGCGTTTATACTGAAGAGTGTTTCCAAAAACACTTATTAAATCATCTAAATGCTGATTAATAATAAAAGCGTTTCATGTGAGCCTAAGCAAGATGTTGGGAAGAAAATGTGCTAAATAAATCTTATAAAATAAACAAGGTAAGCCTCACTACAAACGTTTCAATGCTGGATGATTCTAGCTTGGAAAACTAATTTAGAAGTTTCAAATACTATATATATATTTAAATTTACAAACTATCCATCTCCTTTAAAAAGATTTGTAAGAAAAGAGCTGCATAGAATAAGTCGGTTAAACTCACCTCATTCCATTCAAATTCCAAAATCGTTTAATACTAGAATCCAGTTTCGTCCAGGACGTTTCAAGAAGAATCACTGCTTCTTTCAGTGTACATTTTGCAATTTTCTTGGATTTACGAAGTCAAACTTATTAAATATAATAGGAATCAATTCATGTCAGAGAAAAGCGTTTACGATGTGGAGTAAAAGTAAGTTAAGTTGATAAATTTTATCTTACTTTTGTCATGAAAATGCCATTAATGGATGGCTGTGTTATCATTTCTCGGATGTTGACTGTTTATAGCTTCAGTTTATTAGAGGGCGTGTGGCAAATAAGAAGCCAGTTATCTTTCGTCAACGTCCGAAGGGAATTTCGTATTTTTTGTCACATCTGTGCCCGCCCTAGGTATAATTTTAGCCAGAAATCCATCGCCATAAAACTAATATTGTTGATGTACTTAATAATTAATGATCCATAAAATATGTCGTCTTTCTAGATGGATGCAAAGCCAAAGGTTAGATTTCTGCTTTCGTTGTCAGTCAGTCTAGAAATTGTCCATATACCGATACAGTTCGCTGATAAAGTACCCCCACCCACCCATCCATAAGATAATTTTGGTATTATGATGCTATTTAAAAACTAAGTCGCTTTAAAAAATTATATATTTTATATGCAATTATTTAGACACTTGCTAATCATGCGTGCGTAAATTTTTCAATATTCATTATGTTTAATCTTTCTAATCTACTCTGTAGCTTATGGTATTGTAGTTCAGCATTTTTCTTGATCTTTAATGACGTTTTCTGTTAAAGATTTCAGTTTCTGGATTTCGTTTCATAGATAGAGGTTAGGTTAGGTTATTTAAATATGGTAAATCACACAACGGTTATCTAACATAAAAGAAGGATTGTCTCTTCGTGGAGAAATTTCTAAGGATAAATGTCACGTATTCACCTTACAGTTATACTAAACCACGAAACCCAACCATGCAGCTAGCCCGTATGCCTAACTTTTAATCTAAGTTAAACCACCAGCATTCAGCGGTCTTAATAAATCCACCACTGGTGACGCACGAATAGAAATAAAATCTAAAATAAAACGTGAATTATTCACTTGCAGCGTCATTGACAACTGCTTCAACTGCAAGTGAATTACTCAACATTGTTTTCATCATCATCATAAGAGTATCGATGGAGTGATTTACATACTTCTACTACTATAAGTAAAGGACAGAAGTTGCTTTCTCTGGCAGAAATACCTTTCACGTTTGCAATTGTACGCCAGTCACTTTATTTACGCTGCCAAGCATGTATTAGAAGCGCTTGTTAACGGTACTAAATGTAAATACTTTACAGTTCTTTTCAGGTTCTATTTCTTGACTTAGTGCCTCAACACATCACTCGTGCCCATACATTCCTGAACAAAATATTTTTATTGTAGTATGCTGTATCGCCTCTTAAAGTTGTGGCCATAAATTCTGTTAGACCCTGTACAGTTGAGAAGCTGCCACTTAAAATCGGTACAGTGATTGGCGTTGTTGATTCTTATACTGATGACCCTGGTTCGAATCCTGCAGAAAGCAAGGAAATTTGTAAATGTGTTATGTCTATGTGGGCAGACATAACACATTTACAAATAACATATTTACTCTCAAGACATCTCATGATGTGAACGCATATTTATTGAAATCAATCACATTAGAAAGTAGAAAAAAATATGCTTAAGAAATATGTTTATTGCTATTCAATTGCTTGGGTTATTACTCAATAACCTTCCAGATAAATTTTGAAAGTATCTCAGGATTTACTGAATGGCAACATGCTGATGCGGGGTTCTTAATTTGGTAAACTGATAAATAAGAACACGGGTAAGTTACGATCTATAAAAGAGAAGAGTTTGAGGTATGTTTATGTTTTGATTTTCATGATAAATCTGCTCAAAAATATCTGGTTATTATATTTATAATTACTTTATTAACTATAAAATTATTACTTTACAATTATGGATACAGATTTTAAAAACAACGCGAAAGAAAATTCTGTGAGGGGGGGACAATACAAGGGGAAAATATCGTTGTACAAAATATCGCAGGAGAAAAGGAAAGATCATCACATTTCCAAAGCATCGTGGTAGAAAATAAAGCTATGCAAAAACTTCGCAGTTATTTCTATAACATTTGAAATATAAGTTAAAAATTGTCCTATATCTTCGTTGTTTCACATCACACATAGTCGCTTAGATAAGAAAGTTTTACGAATTAACAGCATGTGGAAGAGAGATTAAAATCTATGTTGGTTAACTGCAGTATGTGCCTATCAAAGTGAATGCTGCTTGCTGTCTCCTAGAAGCTTCGTTCCTAATTGTAACTGGCTGGAAGACGTAGTATTTCTGTTTGTCGTGCAAGTTGTTAAGGGAACCTTAAATGTTTAGTCAGTAGAAAACAACGGAGTATGATGTTTGAGAGAAATTATTCTTCTCAACCTGTAATCCTAAAAAAGCCAAGTCACCTCACTTTTATTACATATCATTAATAGATTATAGACTCCATTTTGCTGAAATATTTTTTAGTTTTAGTTCTAAAACTGCAGGATAATTAAGCAAAGCGGAACTTATGAGTAATTCCTCTACTTGCGAAGTTAAAAATAATTCAAAGCAAT